GGGAAGAGGGGGGGCGAAGAAACAGAAATGACAATGTTGCGGCGCATTTCAGAGCCATCATACACAAATCAGAAACATGAATTTGCAAATTTCACAATATGGTTCCTGTTGCCCGCCTTTGTAAAATTCAGATACCGAAAAGTGAATTGAAATATTTTTAAAATCTATCTGTATAAATAAAGAATTCATGCTTCTTTTTTTGTTAACCTATAAGGAACTAGCGGACACAGGCAACAGACCAAAGGCAATGTTGTGCGCTGCACATTTCTAGCCATCATGCACAAATTAGAAACATGAATTTGCACATTTCATAAAATGCATCTTGTTGCCTTCCTTTTTCTAAATTTCAGATTGAACCCCCCCCCCATATTAATAATAAAACTCGAGTTCAAAAAGACATCGCGATTGAATAGCGAAGAGATGCTTCGTCTTTAACTATTAGAGGTCGATACTAATGATATACATCTACTGGCTTCATGCCGAATTACATGTTTTGTATTTTCCCCCTAATTTATCAAACATTTTTACTCTTCTTGCCTGCACTACAATATTATCCTCATATACAAAATTTGTCTTCTTTTCTTAAAATTTTGGTGGGTAATAATACAGGCTTGTAGATTTCTTTTTAAAGCTGATGAAACGATGACGTTTACATGATTCCAAATTGAATTTGATGCAACAAAGCAGGGAATAAGCTTAAGAATTGTAGGCGTTAAGAGGTCCCAAAATAGCGTGTCGCAATGAACTGATACCCAGTGCACACTGAAGTAAAATTATATAAAATCTCTACATTTTGATATGCTTGGATACTTTAGGGGAAAGCCAGGGATCTATTTCACATAATAACACACACACACACACACACACACACACACACACACACACACACACACACATACATAGTACAACAACGCACCAATTGCCACTTAATAAATGAGGGGGAAAAGAAAGAAGAGAGGACAGACAGACAAAAATGATATTTTTCAAGTACATGTAGTTGTTTTTACGCCCCATCGACACAATTTAAATCATTAAGAGGCGACCCTACCTGTCAGGGCCAACCTCCCGGCAAAAAGACAGAGATACTCGATAAAAATTGCTCCCCACTGGGCTCCGAACTCGGCTCTCTTGCGTGCGATTACAAAGTGTCTAATCGCTACACCACAAACACCAGTACGGGCATTACATACTATATATTATGTAAATCCACCATTCTTCACAAACCACGATACCACGAATTATGTATTCCTTCCACGCCTGGGGCAGCTCCTCCTAAAACTAGATAAAACATAAAACTAAAATAACGTGTGGCGTCTTCGCCCATAACGACACAATGACTCATCTCCATCGTCTCTCTCCATCACCCCCCCTCTCTCTCTCTCTCTCTCTC